TTTGCTGTCTGATGCCTCAGCGCACCGCGGTGGAGCAGCGTAAACTGGACCGGAAGGCGGCGAAGCGCGAGGAGGAGAACTTGGAGTGCGAGACGCGCAAGAAACGTTACGACGATTTCAAGAACTCCGACGCGGCGCCCGGGCCGCACCGCGACAAGAAACTCAAGAAGCTCTACGACGACTGGTACGACTACTACGCGGCGACCACGAACGGCAAGCGGCAGATCAAGCGCGAGGAGCAGAACTCGCTGAGCAACAACCTCCACAAGAAGCTCGAGGCCGCGCGCGCCGACGACACGCTCCGGGAGACGACGAAGAAGCGGAAGGTCGACGACCTCGCGGCGCAGGCGGCCGCCGCGAAGGAGAAGACGCAGGCCGCGATCACGAAGGCCCGCAACGACGCCAAGCGCCAGAAAGTCATCGACCTCCGCGAGGACGCGCGCGCGGTCGCCGCCGACGCGAGTTTGGCGCCGTCGACGCGGAAGCGGAAGCTCTCCACGCTCGCGAAGCAGGTGGCCGCCGCGGAGGAGGACACGCACGAGGCGCAGATGGGGCGCCAGCGCCGCGCCGCCTACGCGACGCTCGCCGACGACCGCGCGACGCTCCTCGAGGCCCACGGCGGCGAGGCCTACGCGTCCACGGCCGCGGCCAAGGCGGGCCTCGACGAGGTCGTCGAGGAGGGCAAGCGGCTGCTCGACGCGTGGTGCGAGGAGAACCCGCGCGTCGCCTTCGCCGTCGCCGTCACGGACCTCGGCAACGAGGCCGCCGAGGCGACGCTCATCGGCGAGCGCGCGACGACGAAGCGCTACGTCGGCACCGCCGACGACGTGCCCCTCGTGGCCATCCCGCTCGTCACGTCGGACAAGGCCTGGGAGGCGTCCGCGCTGGAGGCGCGCCTCATCTGGTACGCGGTGCGCAAGTACGGCGACCGCATCCTCAACACGTACCTCGGCGCGGGCTTGTTCTCACAGGACAAGGCCGTGGGATCCATCTTCCTCGCGGCGATGCCGACGGCGAAGCCGCTGGCGGTGCGCAGCCCGATCCGCGCGCCCGCGAAGGAGCCGGGGCTGCCGCCGTCGAAGACGCCGCGCGGCCCGCGGCCGGCCTACGACGCCGCCGCGGACCGCACGGTCGTCCTCGTGCGCGACCCGGGCGAGTACCACGTGCTGCGCACGTACGACGGCTTCCTCACGACGGCGTGGTGGATCAACGCGGACACGGGCGTGTCGCACTCCATGGACGAGCCGCACGTGACGCGCGTCAAGGCGCGCATCGCGCTGGACAAGGCCAAGGACGCCAAGATGAACCAGAAGCACCGCCGGCCCTGGACGCTCGCGCCGCCGGGCACGCCGTGCCCCTGGCCGCTCCAGGTCGCCGAGCCCGCGGCCAAGCGCCGGCGCGTCCCGCTGCCGCGCGCCGCGAAGCGCGACGACGTCAAGTACGTCTGAGCGCGCCGACGCCATCGCCGAGGCCGTCGTCGAACCGCAGCCGCTGCCTCTTAAACATCGGATCGTCAGATATGGACCACGAGTACCGCGTCTAGAATACCTCGACAATGCATTGAACATTTAATAAACGGTTCAACTACATGAGGGTTTTAAACCTTACTCGAGGAGTTTTACCTTTAGACGTTCCCAGTCACGATGGATGGCTTCTAACTCCAGTCCCACAATGCATGGTGTCTAAGGCATGGCTTCGAGGTGGGCCCTGCGCTGGCTGGCGCTCGTGTCGGTCTTCGTCGCCGTGCAGCTGCGCATGCTGCTGTCGCAGCGCGCGCCCGGCGCCCGCGCGGCGCCGCGCGTCGGCGCGCCGGCGCGCAACGGCACGGCGCGGCGCTGCGCCGTCGCGGCCGTGGCGCCGTCGCGGCGGCCCCTGGAGCGCGAGCTGCACGCGGCCTGGGTCGAGGCCGCGGCGCGGGCCCTCGAGGCCTTCGCCTTCGACGAGCCGCCCCTTCCCGTCGTCTTCCACGACTCCGCGTTCTCGGCCGACGAGCGGCGCGCGGTCGCGGCCGCGCTCGGCGGTCGAAACGACCTTCGACGACATCGGCCCGTGGCCCCTGGCGAGCGCCGCGGACGCGGCGCGCTTCTGGGCCCTGCGGGCCTGGCCGCGGCTCGCCGAGCTGGGGTGCCGCGCCGCGCTTCGCGTCGACGCGGACCTGCTCTTCCTCCCGGGCGCGGCGCCGGACCCCTTCCGCCGCCTCGGCGCCGGGGGCTACGTCGCGGACGCGGGCGGCGACGCGCCGGCGCCGGAGCCGCGGGGCGCCGCGCGCGTCCGCGGCGCGGCCGCGGCGCGCCTCGGCGGCGCGCGCGCGGCGGCCGCGCGCGCGGCGTCTCCCGTCTACGCCGCGTTCGCGAGCGCCGTCGACTTCTGGGTCCGGCCCGACGTGGCCGCCTTCCTCGCGGCGCTGGCGGAGGACGCGGGCGACGTGGCCGGCTGGCGGCTGCTCGAGGGCGTCGCGCTCGCGGCGTTCGGCGGCGCCGTCGGCGGCGGCCTCGGCGGCGCGCCGCGCGTGTCCTTCGCCGCGCCGCCGCGCCTCCTCGGCGTCGGCGGCGCGCCGGCGGCCCTCGGCGGCGCGGCCGCGCGCGGCGCGCTCGACCGCTGGCCCGACGACGCCGGCCGGCGGCGCCGCGCGGGCGCCGCGCACGCGGCCGCGTGGGCGCGCGACCTCCGCGACCTCGGCGCGGACCCGGACGCGCTCGCGGCGAAGCGGTCGCGGCCGCCGGGCCTCGCCTCGAGCGACGCGCTCCTCGCGCTCGCGGAGGCCGTCGGCGTCGCGTGCGGCGGCTCGGCCGCGGTCCGGAGCCACGCGGTCCTCGTGCCGCGGGCCTGCTGCTGCCCGCTCGCGACGCGGCGGCGCGACGCCTTCGACCGCGACCTCCTGAAGCGGGCCTACCGCCTCGGCGCGCTCGCCGGCGACCCGAACCCGGACGCGCGCGACGTCGCGAGGAACAAGCTCCCGGCCTACCTCCACTACTGGTACGGGCTCTAGCTCCCTTTTATTTGCGGGGGGTGTGGCGCTTCGTCGCTCGCCGAGGTTGGATTCGACAGCGCGGCGGCCGCCGGGAGCACGCGCGCGCGAGGACGATGTCCAGCGAGAGGCTGCGAAGGAATCAGGCCTTGGCATTGAGATCGATGCCTTTGAAATTCGGATTCCAAGTGTTGTGAGAGTTTGCTGTGACATGCAATATTTTTGACATCACGTGTGGGCTCAGTCGCGCCGCGTGGGCATAGGAATAGGTTCCGCGAGGGCCCCCGAAGTGGACGCATCGGTAAATCAGTGTAAAGGTTGCCTCCGTCCACAGATCGCGACTGACCGATTCGAGCGTGAGCAGGGCATCAAACGCTTTGAGAATAGTGGGCTTCAGACCACTGTGGATTTTATCATCTACAAACCATGCCTTCATATGTTCAGTATACAATGAAGATTTGGAATTCAGTTTTTGGAATTCCTTCATTCCCAAATCCATTTCCTTGCGCATCTGCTCGACAATCTTTGGGCACTCCATGAAGACGATTAAATCATACACCTTATGCACCACATCGAAGACGTCGTAAGTGAAAGAATACTTCACGCGCGGCAGCGCGTTCGCGTACATCACGCGGAGCAGAATCTCGAGAGAGTCCATCGAAGAAACGGTTATCGGGATAGGCTCGTTCAAATCTGGGCAGGAACGAACCAGGCTCGAGTAGGTAGCGACGATGTATCGATTGACAGCCACAGAACCAGATCCGTCCGACATTTCGAGTATCAAGTCCTGCTCGAACTCGAGAAAGTCCTCCCACGGCTTCATCGTCGTCGACGCGACGGCCCCGTTGCTCTCCGTCATCATCACGTGATTCAGCAGGCGCCTCGTCGACGCGCCGTGAGCGTCCAATATCGCGGCGCGAGAATTGGTCAAAAATTTCGCTCGCTCTTTTGGCACAACCAAATTCGCCCGGGAAGGCCTCACAGGGGCGCTTATCCGGGAAGGCCTCCGGGAGCTCCCGGGGTAAAACCCACTCACTCGCACACCTGCGCCTCGGGACCGAGCATTCCCCCGTTTAGACGCGATAGACGTAGTCCCCGAGGACGAGGATGTGGGAGTGATGGATGGCGACGGGCGGGAACTTGTTGAGGTAGGCGCGGTGGTCCGCGACGCCGCGGGAGCCGGCCGCGGCGGTCTCCGGCGACGAGAGGAGCACGTCCCGCCCGGCGACGGCGGCCTGCGGCTTCTGCGGCGGCTTGAGCCGGACCTCCTCGTAGGCGTGGGCCATCTCGCCGACGCCGCGCTGGAACTTGGGCGCGACGCGGTCGCGCGCGCCCGCGCGCGCGGACGCGGGCCGGGGCCGCGCCGTCGCCGGCACGGGGGGCTTGCGCCGCGCAAAGGGCGCGCGCGGCGCGCCGGCGGGCGGCGCGGGCGACGCGAGGCGCGGCGCCGCGGACCGCGGCCGCCGCGGCGCGCCGCCGCCGCCGTAGCCCCAGCGTGGCTGCACGAAGATGTCGACGACCCGGCGGGGCTTCGACCGCGGCGCCGACGCGGGCCGCGGGCCGGGGGGCGCGCCGGCGCCGCCGAGGACGAA